ATTAGGAGGCAGAGATCAGGAGGATCATAGTTCAAAGGGTCATGGTTCAAAGCTAGCCCAGGCAAGTAGTTTGTGAGACCCTATATTGACAAAACCCAACACACAAATAAATAAATAAATATAAAAGGATTGGTGGAGTGGCCCAAGGTATAGGCCCTAAGTTCAAGCCCCAGTGCCACAATAAGAAAGAAGAAAGGAAGGGAGGGACAGAGAGAGGATGAGAGGGAGGAAGGGAAGGAAGAAGGAAGGGAAGGGAAGAAGGAAGGGAAGGGAAGAAGGAAGGGAAATATAACAAAGCTTATAGTGAAAAACAGCTACCACCTATCTCAGCCCTCCCTGAGTCATGTTCTAAGTCATGCTCCAAGAAATCAATTTAACTACCTCAGCTGACCTTCTTGATTTGTTTGAAAGCAGCATGCTTAATTACAATTTTTTTAATTTCCAAACACGGCTATTGATTCCTTATGGAAGAATAAAGCTGTAGCTCTCTCAGCATCCCCACACATAGACTTGCTGTCCTACTCATCCAGTTTTGCCACCATGGAAGCCATGGTGGGAGCTCATGGCTCCTTAGAGACTCCCTAAGTGAAGTTCACATCAGAGACAAACTGCCTGCTACAGGCACTTTATTTCCCATCCAACTTTTAATTTTTCTCCAAGTCTAATAAGGCCTCTCAGAGCAGCAGTAATTCGTCAGCAGGCTCCCACTGGAGCTGCAGCTATTCCTTCATGATGGCCAAACACATTAGTTTGTCAGGGGCACTTTTGCTGTGAGCCATCCATCCTGGCTGTCTTTGCTACTCACCAGAACCCAACTGATGGCTTTCTAGGCCTCCTGTGCAGCTCTTCCTGGACCTTCCTTTTACCCGAGTCCATCTGTTTCTGTATTTCTTAATTGCCAGCAGTGTTTTCTTTTTGCCTGAGTGTTCTTTTTCTTTTTATACCACCCTAATCTGGATGCAATCACAATTAATATTTCTAAACAAACTAATTATAGATTTTTAAGAGTTTTCTTCTGCCCTTTGAGTGATATAACTTTCCTCTGAGTTCCTTTGTTCTTATTTTTTGGACTCTTATGTGGGAGGCTGTCCTTCAGTTTCTTCTGATCTTGGCTCTGTGCTTTCATAGCAGACTGGGAGCTGTGGCAAGACTGGACCTGCCAGCGGTGGGCTTTGCTCTGGGCTGAGATAGGTGACTTTCTCTTGGGTGGTTCCCAAATGCCAGTATCTCTTTTCTCTTGTGCAAGTCCAGGGTTGGTGTCATCATTCCACTAGAGATCAGTAAGCCTGGCTGCAGATACTGTGTGACATGAAAGTTCCCAGTTTTCCCCAGGCCGAACCAGCTATCTGGGCTCACACCACTGTTCCTGCCTGGAGACAGACCCCCTCCCTGACACCCCTCCCCCCTACAAAGGACTGTAGAGTTTGACTTACCTGGGTGTCCCTGCTACCCCTCAATCTGGGCAGTCACCTTGCTGATTGTTCTGCACACTCACCTTCCCCAGCATCACCTGCCTCTAGGTTCAGGACAACACCACCATTTGGAGCCATACTCTGTGAGTTAGTTCTCACTCTTGTTGCCCAAGATAGTCTTTCGATTTTCCCGAGGTCACCCAGATTTGGGATCCACTGAGAGTTTGCTTTCTCTTTATGGAGTAGATAAGAATTTGGTGAACAACTTTTCCCTTATTTCTGGAGAATTTGTAGGAAGAAACCTTGTGTTTATTCTGTTCAGTTTGCATCTCAACTAGCAACCTGCAACATTTTTATTAATTGAACCTCCTTTTATATTGTCTGTGTTGTGTCATTTTTCATATCAATGTATTTAGATTATAATTTTATCAGTATTAACCTATTTGTCATATTTGTTGTAAATATTTTTAGAGGAAATTCCTTTTTATTTTAGCTATCTTGTTTTTCATGGTAAAATAACATACCATGACATAATCAATTTTCATTTGTTAAAGATATTTTGCAGGTGTCTAAGTGCACAATTATATTATAGCTTTTAGATACTTATCTAACTTATCTTGAAAATATTTTGTAATTTTCCTGTGAAACATGAATATCTTATCTCTCAAATTTCTAAATTGCTAGCTTACTTTCTCCATATTTTTATTAAAGAATTTTTAAAGTTCATTGGTTTTATCCCCATTATGACACATTAAATTTGTTTGTAAAATGTGCTATATTTCTGTGTCTTCCTCTCAATTCTATTGATATGTTTTCCCTTAAGTCTATATTCATTATATATTATATAATATTCTGCTTTAATCATTCATAGGCTGAAGTGATTTCACTGTCATTTTTCAATGATTATTTATTGGTTTTCTGTTTATGTGGTTAAAACTCATCAGAGATAGGTTATAAAGAGTAAAGAATGAATAAGACTTGTTCCTTTTCTTCAAGGACTATGGAAGTCTTGAATGATAAGATCAGTTCACATTGAGAAGTTCAAAGAGGCTTTTAAAAACTTAAAATGAGAAGGAAGTTATAAGCTTAAGATGGAAAAAGCTTAAGTTATATATTGCTTTACAGGCAGAACTTCACCAGGGCAATGACTGGGTGAGTAAAAAGGAATCTATAAATGCAAAATAAGATGTGCACAGGTGCGCATACAGGTGTGGTTAAACACAGGATGATGGCTTGAAGAACAGCTGAAACACCTCAGATCATAGTGGAAATTTATAATTTAGTAAAATTTAAAACAATTAAACTCTTAAGCAGGAAACTATTAACTATAATTAGGTGGCCATAAGTAATTACTGAATTGTGTTCTTAAATAATGTCATTGGCAGAAGAGTGTGATAGGTAAAAATACTAACATGCCATGTGTTTTTTTAACTAAAATGAAACAAAGTGTTTTTTAAGTAATTTTTTTAAGATAATTGAGCCTTTTGTAAATTCAAGATGGTACTCACTTTCAAAGTTAACACTGAAAGTGGGAAGAGCCTTTTTGAGAATAATAGTCATCTTTAAGATAGGAACAGAATCAAAATTGTCCGGATTTAATTCAAGCCCCTATAATCTTTCACGAGTGTGTAGCACACAGCAGAGACATAGATGACCTGATCCACTCACTGCTCAGTAGTAATGAGGGACTGGAAGCAAGAAAGGGAGACCATGGGCGTTTACTAAAGGGAAGGGGCTCTACAACGTTGGTGGTGGGATCAGAGAACAGAGTGTACTCTGGGAACATCACGGGCAAATCAAGAAGAATTTCTCTAATTAGGTTCTAGTCTGACGTGGTAATCATTTCACAACATATGTGCATAGCAAACTTCACATTGCACACCTGAAACATACACGTTTTTGAAATGTCAATTTACTCAGTAAATCTGGGGTGAAGACCATTAACAAAGCCAGAACGGAATGATTTAGATGTGGTAAGGTCGAATGTTTAAAGAGGGGAAATCCACTTTTAGAACGTAAAATGACTACTTCTAAAGACCCTATTGTGACTTTGCTATTTGTCAGGGCTCAGGAAAGTTGCTAACGCATGCTGCTGAATCAAGCTCATGAAGAAAACTCTAGAGATTTTCCTTCCATCTGGGCTTGAGAAACACAACTTTCTAGGCAAGCAGAATAAAGAACCCTGATTGTTGTATTCAATCCTGTGGATGTGTGCATTCAGAATTTTAATTTCATGGATTTATAATGAGCCTGCCAACTTGTCAGGCCAGACATCCCTCTGCTAGTTCTGTTCATAAATGCTGCTACTCTACCTGCATGTAACCTGAGATGCGCAGCTCTCCTGTGCGGAAGAAACAGTCTAAGTCAGCCATCTCTCCCCTACCTGCCTTTGCCTTTCCTTCCCTCTTCTTCCCTCCCCTAGTCTAGCTCATTCATTGTCTCTTCCCTTTCCTTTCTTCCCTTTCTTTTCTTTTCTCTCCTACTTGAGCTATATCAGCAGTCTCTTACCTGCTCTTCAGGTTACCACCCTCTCCCTTCCCAAGTGTAGTAAGTGCTTAAGTAGTCATTGCTGTGACTGTTCCTCCTCACCACAGAGTGGCATCAAAACAAATTAGAGGAACATGAAAGGATTTTTGTAACAAGCCTTATCCTCAGCCACTGCCCCACCATCGCCATCTCCCACATTCCAGGGACAGTGAATACTTGTCACCATTGTGTTGCACTGCACTCTAAACCATCCCTTCTTGTTTAGCTGCTGCTTTTTCTCTTGTTTCTCTGGGAAGTATCTTTAAATGCTGTCCCCTCTTGGACTGTGCTCCCTCTTCCAAGGCAGAATTACTTTTTCATCTGTATTCTATAGCACTTACTACAAATACCAAACGTATTTGGAACATTGTATCCATTTATATTTTTGGTTCCTCAACTGAACTTGAGGAATTCTTGAATTCCTTGAGACTAAAATCGGGTAATTAAATTTTTATTTCCTCAATGTCTGACACACAGACAGTGTACTATAAATTTTACTTGAATACATTTGGATCAGAGGTTGTCTTTACAAAAGACCTTAGAGCAGAGTTCTTTGGAGCAAGTGGCATGGGCAGCCCTCTATCATTTTATAATGGTTACAAGTCTTTCTTTTTCCATGTAATTTTATAGCTATCATATTGATTTACCTAAATGCATACAGAACAATGGACTTTAATGTGATTCCTTTAATTCTCAGATGAGGAAGTCAGATTTATGCTTGTATCAGACCAAACATGTAAAGTCAGCAGACTTTATGAATTCATAAGTATTAAACCATTTTACATTGCAGGCAAATACGTTATGGACAAGAACAAAATGTACAATGCATTTAGTTCAGAAGAAAACCATTAAGGAATGTTAACTTGAATTGAAAGCACTGGGGTGGGAGAAAGCCAGGCTACTAGATGAGAAATAACTGGTAAGTTGAAGGATGGTTTTAAAAACAAGTGAAGTGTTTTTCATGTGTTTTGCGGTGATGATTTGAACCATCAGAAGACAGTAGAATGGATTTTGCTGAGTTTCTTTTTCTTGAGGTTTAATTCAGCCTCTTCTCTTTAATAGGTTTCAGAATCTGCTATGGTCAAGAAAGACGTTTGTGGACAGCATGAAAATTTACAACCACAGTTACATCTACATGCCTGCCTTCTCTATGAAGACAGGGACAGAGCCATCCCTCCGGGTTTATTATACACTCTCGGATGTCGGTGCCAATCAAACAGTGCTCTTTGCCAACCCCAACTTTCTGCGTAGCATTGGAAAATTCTGGAAAAGTAGGGGAATCCATGCCAAACGCCTGTCTACAGGTCTCTTTCTGGTGAGCGCAGCCCTGGGTCTCTGTGAGGAGGTGGCCATCTATGGCTTCTGGCCTTTCTCTGTGAATCTGCATGAGCAGCCCATCAGCCACCACTACTATGATAACGTCTTGCCCTCTTCTGGCTTCCATGCCATGCCAGAGGAATTTCTCCAACTCTGGTATCTTCATAAAATTGGTGCACTGAGAATGCAGCTAGATCCATGTGACACACCCTCACTCCAACCCACATCCTAGGATCCGTGGAAGATGAAAGGACCAAGCCAGGGTGTTTATGCTGGGTTTTCTATGTGACACCACAGAAGAATGGTCAAGCTGTTTCATGGATTGGAGCAGACCACTCAGAAAGATGAGAAAAATAACAAAAAAAGACCCAAATAAAACTTTACTTTTAATGTTGGCTTGCAGGACAAATCAAATGTCCTATGATACATTTTGTAGAACACCGTGAATTTGCAAGTAGTGAAATGCCCATAAGATGACGTAGGTATAGCACATTTCTATGGTTCCAATCTGGAAGATGCAGTTCAAAAACAAGAGAGATCTAGTTGTTGAGGCTGAGGAACCACTCAGTAAGGAATAAAGAAAATGCTGGGGTGAAAGTGTTGCTGGTTATCTACATTAATTGACTTAAGAATAATTTTAAAAGACCTGTCTAATTAAGGCTGACATTAGAACTATAGGTTTTTAAAAATTATTGCTTATTTTTGCCCGATTTAGGGGCAGTGGGGTGGGTGATGGGGTAGATTTAAAAATACCTTATTGAGTAATAAGGATACAAAATGCTACAGCTGATTATTGTGATCTGTTTAATCAAGTCTGTATTACCTGTAGCCCCTCCTCCTTTCTAAAATTTGAAATAAGATTGCTTCTTACCCTTTTGTCCATTCTTAGACAATGTGAAGCAACCTTGAATTTAGACTGTGTTGATTCATAGTCAGGACAACATGAGCCATTTTCCCTCCTCAGAATTTAGAACATAAACTCAGTTTTTAGGTCTGCATTGCCCGTTTGCATTGTTGCTATTATTTTAATGCAACAGAGACCAAAAATATGAGTGTATTACTTGTTTGTGAATTGCCATAACTGTACTCATAATTTCATGTTCAAAGTTAAGTCAAGCACAGTAACATAAAGCTTAGTCTCTGCAGATGACAGCCCAGAAGGCAAATCCCTTTCCTATGTAGCATGGTATATTCATTCCAAAATGCATCACGTGTATACACACAGGCATGTAGACGTGCACACACACACACACACGCACACACACACACAATGTTAAACAAACCTTGTTTTCATATAGCTTTCAAAACAGAACCCACATGACCTGGTGTGACAAAACTGTAACCAATGCTGGAGAACCACAAATACATCATGAAGTATCCATTACATGTTGACATAAGACAAGCTAGCATACTACTTACCAGCAGGACAGGCAAGTCTTAACCCCCAAATGCTTAATCCCAAGTGAGCAGAATTGCTTTATTCACTTGACTCCCACCAAAATCTCCTGATTAGGCCCTGCATTGAGCTTAGGCACACAGGTAGGGTTCATTCAAGTAAATCAGTATGAATTAGTAACAATTTATTTACTTTGTGTCAAGTCAGATTACATAGGCAGCAACTGTGACACTAGCAGGAAAACTCTCTTGACCCTACAAGCAGCCAAATGTGATTAATATTTGTAAGGGAAAGGAAATCTCTCATTGTCTTTGTGTTTTGGGATACCCTGAAGTTCTACTTTAATTTTGTTGGTAGAAATTTAGTATATTGTCTAGTATACTAAACAGGTGGCATTTTAAAAAATGATCAAAACAGGTCGCATTTAAAAAAATGATCAAAAGTGTAAGATAACCAAGATAACGCCTTTGAAAAAACTCTACATTATTGGAGTAATAAATTTTTAAATATGGTTGAATATTGAGGTTATTATAGAAATTAGCATTTAAACTATAACTGGTTGGTGTAACAGATTTTCTTGATACTTAGAAAGTTAAGAGTTTGGGAGATTCAATTTTGTAGAGACCTGGCTTGCTATTTTGACCCTGATAATAGGAGTGGGCTGTGTTGAATATTCACTGATACGCAACTGTGAATATATTACCTCTTTTGAACTATTGTTATTATGTAATAATTATCTTAAAAGAATTCCTTTGTAACAACGTATTTCTTTAAAAATGTAAAAGGGCTAACAGAACATAGAAAATTTAATTAAATGTGCCACTTGAATTGGTGCATTGTTAAAATTGATAAAATTTAATTAGTGAGCTCATAAAGTCAATTCACAGTTCCATTGAAAATTCTATCTGGAAGTTGTACATCTTGTTAAGATTCCTGGGATAGATTTATGCAATAGATTTGTCTGATGTTCAGTCTATAAGTTTAAAACAGCTGTTCCATATGGCTTCTGAAATGCAGAACAGAAGTGGCCAATGTTGATAACATGCTTGATTAGACCTGCGCTTTCAGCTAGGGTCATTCCACCTTCTCTCTCAGATGTGTTGGCAACGTCTGGAGATGTTTTTCATTGTCATGACTCAAGGATGCTTGTAGCATGTAGTGGGCAGCAGCCATGGTTCCCACTGAACATCCTACAACACACAAGTCATCGCCTCACAGCAAACAATTATTCACTTTAAAATGTCACCAGTGCCAAGGTTGAACAGCTTGAGATTAGAACACAATGAAAATTTGTTCACCTTTTCTTCACTTAAGGATGCCTAGACATGCTCACACCATTCAGAGTATGACTACAAATTGATGATAATGTTTTCTCAGGGAAGATTATGGTTTAGCATTACTTTACAGTGACAATTTATAGGTGTGCCATATGTATGCCTTTTTATGTGTGTGTTCGGTTGGATGATGTATATACATAAGAAGGGTGTCTGTGTGTGTGTGTGTGTAGCATGAAGTTATACTTCTCTACCTTATTAAAATATATGTATTCCTAGAATTATCCCAAAGAGTCTCTGGAATACTCTATAACTACTAAGAAACTGATTTCTAAACTGTCATTTCCTAATTTTGTTTACCTGATCTTCAGACTTGGACCTGGTTTTTTACCAAATTTGGTCAGTTTTAGCTTAACCTTTAAGTTTTTTTCACCTTTAATTCAGCTCAGAAGACATTTAAGTTACGGTACACACATTCAGTAAGAAAATGGTTGATCACTTTCAGTGTATATACCAAGAGATGGTATCCTTCTTGACCATCTGACTAATTTTTAAAGTTGTTTTTAAGTGACAAAAGTTAGATTGCTTCATGGGATCACAAAGAAGAATGGAGAGACTGCAAATGAGTATCCTGATGGGATTTTTGTTTATTTATTTATTTATTTATTTTGGTGGCACTGGGATTTGAACTCTGGGCCTTATACTTGCTAGGCAGGCACTCCATCATTTGAGAGACTCCACCAGCCTCCAATTTGAGAATTGCATTGATTTCTAAAGACCATAAAGAAGGATTATCTCTGATTAATTTTAACCACAGTTCTTAAAGCTAGGATTGTTGTAGGATTAAGTTGTTCCACAATAAAGAAATGTTTATATGAAAGGCTAGAGACACGGCTCAGAGGTAGAATGCTTGCAAAGGTACTAGGTTCAATCCCCAACATCACCAAAAAAGAAAGAAAGAAATGTTTTGTGTGAAAGATTTTTGGACACATATGGTTCATATAGATTATTTTTACCAAAAGTTTATATTTAAAAATGTGGGTCTACACTGCACAATTCTCACACAAGAAATCAGGGAAGCACTAACTAGATTTTGTTTTTGTATAATTCACTTTCAGGTATTTTCACAAAGGTAGGAAGTAAATGATCCACCATAACAGATGCTCAGACAGGATCTTTGTTTGGCTTTGTGATGTCTCATTCCCCCCTACCTTTTGGCTAAAAATCTGTTTGGGCTAAATATAACTTATACCTGAAGCAATCTTGATTAGTGTCTTAACATGACAAGTAACTGAAGAAAACTTGAGATTCTAAACTTGCCACAGATGTTCCTACATTGGTTAAAAACCTTACTGAACTGATATAGATGAGGCAAAATGGAAACAAATGCTGTTTCTTCTTTTCAGTAGCAACAGGAGCTGTTGTGAACTTTATCAAGATACATAAACCTTTATTAAAGATATATATACCTTTATTAAAGATATATATATCTTTAATATCTTTAATAAAGATATATGAATATCTTAAGTAGTATCTTGATTATTAAAGATTTATATATATATATAATATCTTTATTACATATAACCTATTTGTTTAGAAAGCCAACCATCTATATTTTTAATTTCGGTATTTGAAAATACTGCCTGTGGAATTTTTAGCTGACAGTTCCTTGTTAGAGAGCAGAGTTTAGGGGGAAAACCATTACCAGTCCACTGAAATCTTTAGGAATTGCTATACACATGGTAGAAATACTTTCCCACTAGAACCAGATAGTGTCTACTTTATGTTTCTAGGATGCCAGAAATCAAAAGCTGTGGGGATTTTCATGTAAACTCAAGGGCCTTAACTTGGAGAAAGAAGGACTGACTGTTACAGTGTGCTTTTATTTATCTTCCTACTATGGAGGCCGACTCCCATACTACAATGACTGTAGGGTGGCACACACCAGAGATGGAAGGGAAGTAACAATTCCCCACAGCTGCAAACCAGATCAATGCATCTAATAAAGTCAGTAGTACATACAACTAGAATATTTAGCAATTTGATTCCATTGTGTGCTAGGGAGAGGGTGAGGCAAGTGGAAAGAAGGAACTTTCTAGCTCTCAGTACACAGAGTTGCAGAGGTCTCTACCCTTGGCTTTGCAGAGCCACCTGCCTCTGTCCTACCGGGGGATCTGCCTTGATCAAGTGGCATTGTGTGAAAATGTACTGAGAAGCTTAAAATTTTACAGGGCTTTGTTTTTGATTAAACTTGTGCTCTCTAAATTTGGATGTCCTGTGGCAGAATCTAGTCACCCTGACCTAATTGTAGCCCTGCCAGTGATTATGAAAAATGGAGTTTTTTTCCTATGTAGATGGACTTCCTGAGTCCTTGAAGCTAGGGAGAAATCAAATGTTTCCCACATAGCCTCTTTGAAAGCCTTGAGAACAAACACTGGAATTCTGAAGCCCAGAATGTCTGTCTATAAACTCCTAAATATGAGACCACAATATTTAGGTTGAGCACTATAAAATTTCTGTTTTGTAAGTGGAAGGAAACTTGAATCTGTAGTCTTTCATCTTCCCATTATCAGAAAACAGATCCTATCTGCCTTACCCTCAGCCTTGGCTTATCTTTGACATTTTAACTCACATCCTAGAGACTGAAATGTGTGCTTGAATAGAAAGCTTATTCAAACACAATACAGTCCTGCTCACCAGTAAGGAAAAGTGTGCTTTTGCTTTCTTGGGTGTTCTCTCTGGAGCCAGCATTTGTGGTTTCTTCCATCTCTAACACCTGGGGAATAAATAATATAAATTGACTAACAATATCTGTGAGCATTTGAGTAACAAAACCAGCCTTTTTAAGGCACAAAAGGGAAATTGTATTTTATGGTCATTTACCTACTACCTCCGTG